TTAAAAAAAAAAAAAAAAAAAAAAAAAAAAAAAAGAAGAAGAAGAAGCGATAATTCGTTTCGTGTATCGCGTCGATCAAGTTCCGCATATTTTGCTCCAATTAGCAATGTTATTTATGAAAGAGATAATAGGCCGGCAACGGGTCTATCTGCCCGTAGATAAAGAGCGTAGGTGGTCGCACCGAGGACGCATCGCGTATGAGATAACTCGTTAGGTCAATGCCATGCGAGGCAACCTTTGTGGAGCAAAGTCGAGGCGCGAACTGTTAGGCGGAACCGCCAAGTACACGCATCTTTCAACGTTCGTTTGACACGGTTCGTGTGACGTAGCTCGGAAGAGTGCCGGAAACAAGCCGCTTATATCGTCGACCTCGACATATCCAATCAACCAATCTTCGCTGAATGCCTATTGTTCCGGTATTTCGAGCGTGATAAAACCTAAGCTGGGAGATATTTCTATAAATCCATCGGTTTATAGAAATGCGATCAAGAAGAAACAATCGCGTGGAACGAAAGGAGAGTTTGTGGGCGATTATATTTTATTCGTTGTAGTTGGAAAAACTTTGATAAGAAATGTGAATTTGAAGGAAGATGGTCCGAAAAGATAAAAGTTTAAAGTTAAAAACGATTTTAAAATTCGCAATAGGATGATTTCTTTAAAGAAGAAAAAGTCGAGGATATTTAAGAATATTGTATATAATGGGATAGCTATGGAATGCATTAATATGATGTAACATGATCTCGTTTTTCAAGTGACGTCATTCCTTGTTGATCGAGTAATCGTTCAAGCGCCTGCGGGTATGCAACCGTATCGTCCTATACTATTTCCTACTGGCGCCGATAGGTGGCTCTAGCGCACAATTTAGTAAACTCTGCAAAAAAAGTTATCGACGATCGATTCGCGATAAATTCGAAATTTGATTTTCACCCATACAAATTTTCCTCTATCCAAAAAAACACCTTTCATCGATCGATTTATTAATTTTTGCAAAGTGAGTAAACTCGTCGAACCAACATTTCGTTCGTGTGTCATTACCCGTTAATCGAACGCGAAATAATTCCCACCAGATGGCTATACTTTCACGGCAATCGGTGAGAAACAATTCCACCGATCGATACGAAATTTAAACTTCGATTCAACGCTTTCTTACGTTTCTAATAAACACGCAATAAAACGATAACCCTAATAGCGCTACGAATTAAAATCTATTCAATAATCCCCACATTGCTTTCCTTCGATAATTCATAATCGCCTTCAAATCATTTCAAAATAACCCGTTCCAAAAGTTTTCCCAAACTTTCTTCGACATTCGAGCGAATGCACGCAATAAGAAGCCTACCCTCCAACCCGTTCCAACTCGATGACGTCGTAATCCGGAATATTTCTACCCTTTCGTGGGCGCATTTACTATCGATCGATCCGAACGCACGCGGCACTCGTTGCCACGAGTCGCGAAATCGTCTAGGCAAAGCGAGAGAGAGAGAGAGAGAGAGAGAGGGTGCAAAAACCCACCCCCCTCGCGATGCCTCGCTATAAGTACCGGACACGAATCGAGCGCGGGCTTATAGGTCCGGTCGCGGTCTTCCTCGTTCGTTCCTCGAAACCAGTCCACGAACCGGGGGCCATCGAACGGTGATCTATGAATAGATCCCGAGATCCTCGGCTGCCACCATTTTGATTTCGCGTCAAACGGGGAGATCGATTGACGGAGGACGACGCAGCACGTGGAACATTCGAGTGGGGCGAAGACGGGGAGAATGACAAGGTCGCCGGCCGATCGTGGATACAGGCAAGTTCGACCCCGTCGGTGGAACGCTCGGGGCTGGGATCCATGCTGATCCGTGATGCCGCTTGGAGTCACTTTGGATCGAGTACGCCTTAACCTTCTTCCGACAGGATGAAGAACAGCAAGTCGTTGATGGACATCGAGGACATCTGCGGATGCTCGAGATTACCCTCGATCATCCCCAGGAAAGAATTGCCGCACTTAAGATCCACTTCCGGTGAGTGTGCAAATGTGGGAGAGAGAGGGGATCGTGAAGGCGTTTTTATCAATATTTCGATCAATTTCGATA